TGGAGTCTCTACTAATGAGCTGATGACCTGAATCAGGTGTGTTTGATTAAGGAGACATGCAAAATGTGCAGTGTTGGGGTGCCTCCAGGACCAGGTTTGGGAACCACTGCTCCAAGCCCTGAAATTGGTGTGTAAGAGAAAGGAGACATGCAAAATGTGCAGTGTTGGGGTGCCTCCAGGACCAGGTTTGGGAACCACTGCTCCAAGCCCTGAAATTGGTGTGTAAGAGAAAGGAGACATGCAAAATGTGCAGTGTTGGGATGCCTCCAGGACCAGGGTTGGGAACCACTGACGTAAACTACAGTGAGATTTGTCTTTTAGGTGAACTACTGAGATGGCGAAGAGAATCTCATTGAGCAAGTCAATGTATGTAATTAGCTTTGTTTTTTTTATTTCAAAAAGTAACTATCGCCCCCCTTAAGTCCCGAAGACTGCATGAATGCAAGAGTGCATGTTTATATACAACTGGGACCATGTGCTTGCAACACATTGGCCAAGTGTTTGCATACTTGCATAGAGTATGTATCTGGCGATAATGTTTAAAGTTCGAATGGACCCTCTTTTGCGTCAGCCTTGGACATGAGGATAGCACAACGGTTAATACAAGGTCGGGAGAACAACTTGTGTTTGGACTTATCTCTCAGGCTCCAATTAGTCTACGTTTATTTCATATTTACAATATACAAAAAAAAAAGAGAACAGTACACTACCATTTTGACCAGTCCTTTTCTGTTTACATATCAAAACTGGGTATGGTTTGTCCTTCTCGTTCTTTTCTCACTTTATGTGAGGGGCTTTACCTATAAACACATTCATGAGGAATACTAACGGGTTCATAATTAATACAAGAAACACTCATAAATGTCGACATCCACAGGTTTATGCCGACACTTTTTGCACTTCAGGCACTTCTCACCACGGTCCGGTGAAACTTAACACTTGTAACCCGTACGCTGCTACTCTTTGGGTCCTTACGTAATGTGCAAAACAATCTCAAAACACTGTAGTTTCATCCTGAAATGTGGAGCGGTGCCGTTTTTCTGTTTTTCCATCCGCGTCAACCTGTGGTTTACGTTTATAAGTGATTCGTGTCTGCATTATGAAAACATTACTTCCAACCTGTGAAAGAGTTGGGCCCCTCGACTGCTCTTCTCTGTAGGAAATTTATTGAATCGCATTAGGTAAAACCGAAGGCTTAAAGTGACGTTTCTGAAGAAGCAGCAATTGCATGTCCTGCAAAAAACCTTCACAGAACTGTGTTAACAGTTTTTACAATACCAACCGACCTTTTCATCACCCCAGCCTTTCCAATAACCCACATGTCTCTTATGCCTCATGTTAAATTAACTTGAATATTAGGAAATAGACGAATATGCAGTTGACAATAATACCATCCGAACAGGCAGACCTTAATAAAACATTACTGTTTCAACAGCATGACCTTTAGAGATTATATGTATGCTCTAGGAGCTCAAATATAATGCTTTAACATTGTGAAATGCTTGATATGAATTAGATCTTACCAAGAGCACACTAAAAGTACAGCTATACAAAAGATTGTACATTTATTTTGAGAACTACGAGTTTACGAGAGCTGGAACTTGGGAAAAAAGCCTATTTTTAAAGCACGATCACAGCTAGCTCCAGTTCGACAAATAGGTTTTCTTCTCTTTGACATGCTACAACTTTTAGTCTGTACCAGTGGCGGCTCGTCAGGGGAGGCACAGCTTCCCCATAATTTTGAGGTGAAAATGGGAGGAGGACGAT